AAGGTGCAAATGATCCAAGAATCAAACAAAAAGAATCCGGTAGAATTTTCGTTTCATTCACTGATATCTTGATATTTCACGTGGATTCTGTAAAAGGCATAATGGTGATTCAAAATAATTCCATACGACTGTTCTTATCATTCAACGCTTTCCTTCGATTCATTTTTGATAATAGAAGACGGACTGATTTCTAAAGATTTGATTTTTGCATAGCATTCAGCATTTTATTTGATAATTAATAATTGATGTAGACTAGGGCAATTGAGAATATGATTACATCAGTTTAGTATAATACAATGTTGGATTGAGATGAAATCAGGACCGGGGGCTTCTGAACCCCCTGCATGCTCAGAGGCACTCCGACTGAACACTGTATATTTCATTTTTACATTAGCACACCTGATTTCAAAATATTCTACTGGTTATTTTCGAATATTTTCTTTGCTTATCTACCAATTTTTTCGAAGTATCATCAAGATGTAAATTCTGACTTGTAGATCAATTTGTTGAACAACTCAAGAAGCACAATATTCCGGTCACTTATGTCGTCTATCCGGATGAAGGACATGGTTTTCGGAAGCCACGAAACGTCCTTGCTGAAGCTGGATTCAGAGAGAGATTTTTACATGACTGTTTGCACGGACGATATGAAGCTTTCACACCAGGACAATATAATTCAAGTGCAATTGTTAGTTTTTCAATGCCGTTTTTCCATTGTTTGAGATTTTATGATAAGCCAACAGCATTTACTGTCAGATGATTTCAGATCGTCACTGAACCAAAAGCAGTGGGTAAATCATCATTGAAGGTTGTTAAAAGTTACACTATCAACAAATTGGGTGCAATCCATACAGAATTCACAGCCCCTTCAACGTCATAAATCCATCGTGAAAAGTGGTGATTTCGCTTTGAACTGAATCAGATACAACTATGGTGCTGAGCATCTGAGAAACATCATAATTCAGTGTTACTGCAATTGAGGTTTCGAGTGACCTTGGTAAACTATTAGCTATTGAGGAGATGT